TTGATTTTTAATGCATTTTTTTGTTATTAATTTAGATTTAGAATAGGGTAATTAATATTATTTTTTTCCTTTTCGTTTCCCAAAATTTGTTATTTTAATTTGCATTATTATTAAAGTACTATCACTGCATATTTGGATTAGCTACAAAAAAATATTATTTGTAAATAAAGAAATATAATTTCTTATAATTAAAGTACTTAATCCTTAATTTACTCCTTAATCCTTTGTTTTCCATCATAAAATCCACATTTACATTGTTAAATCTTCTTAAAATTCTGTTTCTTTGCATACTTTCAAATATAAGTATATATTTTGCAAACAATTCTCATGTTAAAAGTTCGCCTAGTCTCGACATTCTCGACTCTTGCCGATTTTGACTTTCTTTGCAGGTGTTATAACGCGTTATAACAACGTGTTATAACAAATTTTGAGCTCACTGCGAAAACTTATTGTTCATCTTCACTAGCCGTGTGTTCTCTTAAATGGGCCGACAAAGACAGAGGAAATTCTTGATAGGGACGTATCTCGAATATCGATACACTTTACTACATACTGTCATTTGGAAATCGCCGTTGCCAAATTGAACATTTAGAAGATAATTTAGGGAGTGAATAAAGTTATGGGTTCATTAGCTAACGAGAGATTTTAACAATCGTTCTTGCAACCGGCTGTATCTGTTTTATGTTATGTTTCCCTTTATCAAGAATGAACAGTTTATAATATTAATAACTACTATCTTTATCTGTTTCTATAGCGCCAAGTTCTTGAATGATTTGTATTTTGTACGGGTGATATTTATGCAGCTTCAACATCTTCTTTACAGATTCGTGAGATGGTTCTGTACTTGCAAATATTTGACGAGTTGATGGAGTTGAATATATTTTAAACTTTTTTAAGACCTCAATTTAAACTACTTCAGAAAGTAATCTTGGGCCGTTTATTTTTTATTTACAAAAATACAGTGTGATCGTCATCGATTCCTTTTTTTGAAACTTTGCAACTAAATCACGGATATACAGGTATCGTTCGTTTTTGTCGGGATGTTTGCCATTAAATACGGATGGTTCTCATCAAAAAACATTGGTTCTGAGAGGCTAATATCAAAATTATCTCCACACGTTCAGCTAGACTGAAACTGTCGTCCCAACTTGCAATAATTTTTAAAACTTTAATAGATGACAGTATCGCGCGTACAATTGATTTATCGAACACTAATAACATTTGCTCGTTAAATAAACAAATAAATAAATGTCAGATACAGAACGCTGGTAAAAAAAAACAGATTACAATTTTTTATTCTTAAAACTGCCAGAAAAACAGGTTTTTATTACGAGTGGAGTACAACAAATAATACCTGCACTTCTTATTTGTAAATGATCTACTATTGGCACACTTCTTATTTGTAATTGAGCTACTATTGGCACTTTAGAACTTTTCAGTGGTGTACCACAAGTAAGGTATTAATTATTTCAAACTTGATTTGAGTTGGTTAAATAAAAAGGAAAAGAACAAAAAGGTCATTTGTCTCTTACAAAGATATGTATGGTATGCCTAGTGGGTAAGGGAACTCTAAGAAATTGGTAATTTTTTGTTGGTAGTAACATGAAAGAATGATTTAGTTTATTATCAATACTAATTCACTAATATTAATATTTATTTATTCATACTAAATTATTAACCATATTGTTATTACCTATATCAGTGGACAGCATTTTCTGCTGTTTAATTTTTTTTTTTTTTTGTAAAGGTTGATGAAAGTTCTTTGATATGTAATTTTAGTTTCTCCTTCCTATCCTTCAAACAGTTTAAAACATGTATTGTTATTTTTTTGTTTAAGAGATATTAGGGGAGACTGGGGAGGGTTGAGCCAGAAGGAGGTTTGAGCCATAAATATTGCATTGGTAACGTACCCTTAAATAAATTTACTTTTCCGTTTAGTGGATGCTTAATCATTTCTTTTTTCCCATTATCTAAGTTCAACAACAAATGGAAGTCGTTTACGAAAGTTATAGTGAAAAGTAGTTTTTGAGGCTAAATAATGTAAGTTTTTTAACAAAATGTATAAGGATTCTTTATTCACATTATTATATTTGGAAATATATGGATGAATTATACGAATAACATACTAATTCAACATACTTTCATGTATTAAATTATTTGTTAGATTATGTTTTAACCTGAAAATCGTCATTTGTTGTGGCTACTAAGTACGAGGGGAGGGATGAACAGATTTTATGTGGGAGGTTTGAGACATGGATCAAACTTCCCATCACGGTTAGAAAATACCTGTACTTGGTTTCCAGTATTTTTTTCTTTCTTTTCCAAGTGAAAAAATATAGGCTAACGTAACTTCTTCTGCTAAAATCTTTACTGCAGCATCTACAATAATAATTTTTTGCAGATGCCTTTTAAATGGAAATCAAAAGGCCTACTGCCTACTAATCCTGAAATTTTGGAATCTGCAGTACGGGAAATATGTAGTACTAATGGTAAAATCCGCACAGTCGCCAAAAACTATATTATTGATAGAACGACACTATCTAGATACGTAAATAAATTTAAATCAAACGAACTTGTATCGTTTGTAGCAAACTTTAATTCTTCTCAAATTCTTACTAATCAAGAAGAATATTTGCTAGTTCAATATCTGCTCAAATGCGCTGACTTACATTATGGACTTACTCCAATCGCAGTAAGAAAGTTTGCTTACATCTTTGCAATTGAAAATAACAAAAACATTTCAGCAGCTTGGGAGAAAAATAGAGCAGCAACGCGTGATTGGCTAAGAGGTTTTATGTCAAGACATGATAACTTATCACTTAGGCCACCAGAAGCCACGAGTGTAGGACGTGCCACTGCATTTAATAAATATACCGTGCAGCTATTTTTTGACAATTTAAAGACCATCATGACAAGGGAACATATTACACCTGATTGGATATATAATGCATATGAAACGGGAGTTGCAACAGCACATAAGCCGCAAAAAATAATTGAAAAGAAAGGGCAGAAGGAGGTGCCAAAGGCAACATTGTGTGAACGAGGATCACTGGTAACAATTTTATGCACTATAAGTGCGTCTGATAACACTATTGCTCCATTTTTATTTTTCCGAGGGTTAGGATCCAGGATTATATAACAAGAGGACTTCCCATTGGTGCTGATGCTGCTGTTAATCCATCAGGTTGGATGACCCACGAGAATTTTGAAAAATATTTTCTGCAACGGGAATCACAAGTGTCTGCTGATACTAGACAACCATGATAGCCATATTTCCCTAAAAGAGCTTAATATATGTAAGTAAAATGAAATAATACTACTCACCATTCCACCTCATACTAACCATAAGTTACAGCCCTTGGACACCAACTTTTTCGGGCCTTTTAAAAGGTTTTATAATGAAGCGGCAGATAACTGGATGGTCAACAATCCTGCACAGCTGATATCCTTAAAAGAAATACCTGAATTTGTGTGAAGTGCTTACGTTCGCGCTTTTACGCCGGCCAATATAGGTGGATTCTCACATACTGGTATTTGTCCATATAATCCAGCTGTATTTTCAAATAGTGATTTAACCAGTTCGGAAATTACAGACCGGCCAGGTCCATCTGAAGCTTTACAGTCTACAGAAAATTTACTTTTAGATGTCCCTAGTACTTCCCAAAATATTCCAAATGCATTTGTAAGCCCTGAAGTTATAAGGGCATTTTCGAAAGCTTTTACACGTAAAAAGATAGCTGAAAGGAAATGTGGGAAAACACGGATTTTAACGGACACCCCCGAAAAAGACTAAATACAAAAAGAATTTGAGGAAAGAGCAAAGAAAAAGGAATAGCAAAATGAAAAAAAGGAAGAAAGGGTTGAAAAAAATTGGTTTTAGAAGATGAAAAACAGGTGCCTGTTAAACGAAATAAAATTGAGATAGTCATGGAGGAATATGAACAATCTAAAGATTTTTCAACTTTTCGAGTTGTGATGAGTTAACCGATATTGAGGAACAGATTGAAAACGAAAATGCTAAAGGAAGCGTTATGAATCAAGAAATTTGTAAGAATGACTATGTTCTTGTACGATTTCTTACCAAGAAGAATTTCCGACATTACGTTGCTAAAGTCATAAATATTAATGGCAAGGATTACGACTTATTGAGACTTGAGACTAAAGCCTCCAGGATACAAATTTATTTTTCCCGATGTTGCCGATGAATGTTGCTCACCTAGGGACGATCTGGTTAAGTTACCAAACCCCTTCTTTACTAGAGGACCCTTTCTTTTCCAGTCGATTTTTCCAAATATTAAAATTTAATCTAGGTTTTTTTGGCAAATATTTTTATGACTGCTGTATTCTTTTATTTTTTTCTTCAAGTACCTATGTGTATTTTTTTTGTTAATTATTATTGCAGGAAAGTGTTAAAAAATTTGATAACTGTCTTTAATAAATTTGCTTTAACTCGTGACTTTATCATTACCTACTACTCTTGTCTCAAGCCTCCCTACTCTTGTCTCAAGCCTCCCTACGCTTGCCTCAAACCTCTCTTTGCTTGTCTCTAGCCTCCTTTTATGAAGGAGGTTCGAGACAAGTGCATGTGGTACTTAAATTAATTATTTTTTGCTAAATAACAATTTTTAAAATACTCTTGCTATTGTGTTAAAAAATTAAAACCAATAATTAATCAATATGTAAAAAACTTTATGCGATTACTAAAACATGACAGAAAACCAGGTCTCTGAAAAAAAAGTGGCTCAACCCTCCCCAGTCTCCCCTACCCATTGTATGTTTATAAAGTCATACCTCCTTTTCCACCCTTACTTTTTGTGTTAAATATTCTTTTTGTGACGTTTTGCATAATTTTACTTTGGTAACAGCTTCCAGTGTCTCCTTAATAATCATTTCCTTCAATTATTTTGCATTTGCATTTGCATTTACAACTAATCTGTATGTTATTTTAACGTTACAATTTCCTCTGTGATACATTATACTTAAACACATTTTTTTTTTAGCGGAAAAATTCGCATTGGTTCATTATTTTAACAGCTGTCAGATGTTTTGGAATTGGATCTTTATTTTTTTTCTGCAATGCCCGTCCAAGGAATTATTTCCCAGTTCTTTTTCCATATGATTTCGAGTATATGATTATACTATACCTGTATTCATTTTCAGCGTCTTTTATAATGACAACGGTTATTCTCAGCTCACCAAGGTAAGAAAATATAAAAAATAGGTTACCGAAGCAAAACGGAACAAAAAAGCCTTAAATAGTTGGATTCCAGACTATAAGGTTAAATCCATGAAAGTAGAAGGCAGGGAGACGCTGTGGGGTGGTCTAAGACGGGTTTACTTTCGTTATATTGTGTTTAGGAATCCGTCAAACAGCTAATCGTGGTTTCAATTAATGTTTTTAAATTTTATTTTGGTTGCAAACTAAATATATTTTACACATTAAAATAGTCATACAATGAAATTATCTTAAATAACATTCTACAACTAAATAAATATACAACATAGTGTCGTATGAGACTGGTCCTGCTCTATAGCGCGACGGCCTGTCTACATCGATACATCCGAGAGAATTCCAGAAAGCACCTTATATACACGTATACACGTATTCACAGAAGAAGCGAGGGATTTCGCTTTGTCTCCAATCATCTAAAGATCACCGATGCAACGATGGCAGCATTACGAGATCATTCTACACAAGCCTGGAGTTGTTTGAAACAAAACATTTTGAATATAAATAGACTCTTTGTAGATAGTCAGTTAATTTTCAATACAAGAGTGTACAGTAAAGATAAATTGTAATATTAGAATTGTGAGTAATAATAGTGCCTAAGTATTAAATAAATTAATTAGTACGTTATAAATTAATTATAAATTCACTGTTTTTAATAATCAAACTATTTTTAAATTAAGCAATCGTTACATTGGTGTTAGAAGCGAAACTGTAAATAAATAGTGGACAAAAATGGCTAAAAAACTGTTTGATTTGAAAGTGACCGAGTTACGTCGGGAACTAGAAGATCGCAACTTGTAGACGACAGAAAAAAAGCAAAGCTAGCAGAACAGCATAGAGAAGCAATGGAAAGTGAGGTTTTGGGCCCGGAAACGTATCTATTTTTGGATGATGCATCTTCTATAATTTCGTTGATTTCCGATATGAAAAACGATGTATCTTCTTTAAAAAAACCAATATTTCTGTTACGTTTTATAAAAAATGTTACGTTTACAAAGTTACTTTGCACAAAGTTATTTTGCACCAGATGATACGTTAAGTTTCTAACCCTTACCTGGGTCTCATTGTAAAAATCCTTATAATAAGAATTCTTACAAGCCTCAGGCCTAGCTCAGATCAAAATAGGTTAGTGGGATTCGTTTAGAATTTACCTTCAAGTCAATGACAAGGTCTTTAATTAAAAAGACTTACAAGAATTCAATTAAATTAATTTGGGCGAAATACCTTTAGATGTTCAATAAAAGTAAATTTGTCATTAACTTGTCAGTTGAAAGTAAGGAAAAATAAAGAACTTAAATTTCAAAACAATTAATCGGCTTTAATTTCAAATTGAATTGACTGGTATTACAATAAAAACAAAATAAAATTTATAGATTTTAACAAATTTTACGGTTTACGTTATTTGACTGATAATAAGTTTAAAATTAAAATTGACTAGTATGACTATGACTCAAAAATTGTGTGTGTGGTCCTGGCCGACACTTATCTTGTGTTTCCGGATTTTAACGGTCGAACTGGTTCGTGTCGCTGTCTTAATGGTAGCTCAGCCTACGATGACTTCAAAATATTCTGCAGTTCTAGATGTAACTCAGCTTACAATGACTTAAGAGATTCTGCAGTTCTAGATGTAACTCAGCTTACAATGACTTAAGAGATTCTGCAGTTCTAGATGTAAAGGCCAATTCCTTAGTCGTTACAGAGCCAGTTCCTTATATTTTTAAGAAAGAAAAAACGTGTCAGTTACAACAAAAAAAAAACATCTTTCCATTGCTTCAAAAAAAAAAAAAACATGTGGTCAGCCATAAAAGCTTACTATTTAAATTAAACATTTTTAAATTGAACATTTCAAGTTAACAACAATATTAGAGATTTGCAATAGTATTTAAATTAAAATACATGAAGAATGGAAAGATTTTTTAAATAACTGAGAAAAAAATATAAAATTAATGACAGCCATTTTGTACACTACATGTGGTTCTCATATTACGCGGAAATCTCGAAAATAAATTAAAGAAATAAGTCACAAATAATTTCACCGGATATACACATATATTAAAATTAATTTCTACCATTCATTATAAAAAAAAATTATTCGATTACCTTAGTTTGTTCGGACACACTTAAACAAAGCACTAAAACCAACCGGTTTATTTCGCTTCTAGATTGAAAAAGAATTTCAAAAACCAACAGCTGACCGAATGTAAAACGTGAGTATTCCACTTCCATAGGTAAGCCAAGCGTGCGCACAACCTCCGACAATAATTATTGATTTTTAGAGAAGGAGCATCATTGGTTGAGCCATCGAATGTCTCAGACAGAGACAAATTCCCGTTTTAACATAATATTTATATTTCCAAATACGAGGGGCGCTCAAAAAGTATTAGAATATATTGGAATATTTGAACTAATTAAATATTGTAATTATTAAAAGGGAGTGACGAGTACAACGTAACATTTCTTTTAACATTTCTTTATTAGAAAAGAAAGTTTCTTCAGACATTTACTCCTTAGAAACTAAAGTTTCTTTTGACATTACTTCCTTGGAAATTAAAGTTTCGTCTGACATTTCTTCCTTAGAAGAAAAGGTGTCTCTGACATATCTTCTTTAAAAATGAAATTTCGTCCAATAGAGCAAATGAAACATACCTAACAGTTTAAAGGACAGTAAAATAAAGTGTCATGAGGTGGAATCAAAGTTAAAATTGGAAGAAACTGTAATCTGCTCGTGTTATAGCCTCAACTTCCGACGGCAACATGTCATGGAACAATTACCTTAGACAGTTCGCAACAGATTTCAGAGCGAACAAATGGTCTGAAAGAGAAAAAGCAGTAAATTTGACCTTCGAGGGATACGCGTTAGATGTCCTTTAGATCATACTTGTTGAAGAGATAGATGATTTTGAAAAATTTAAAAAGAGACTAAACATGCAATATGGCCACGAACACTTAAAGCAGGTGTACCGATTAGTAAAAGAATTGCAAAAAGAAATGTGACGAGAGCCTTCAAGAATGCGAATTAGATATTATGAAGATGATGCGATTTGACTACCTATCAGCTTCGGAATACATAATTGAACGTATTGGTATTCAAGCATTTGTTAATGAACTTTGTGACCATTAAATGCAAATAACTGCTCTTGAATATGAAGCGGCTATGCTGGCTTCTGGTGGATAAAGTGAAGTAAGAACTATAAATGAGGAAAAACAGGGAACTAAATTGTTTCACATGATAAAAAGTCTTGAGAAGCAACCGATGACTATTAGGTGCTGTACTTGCGGTGAAATGGGAAATGCAAGCAGTTCGCGTAAAAGCCCCAAGAACACTACGAATCGAAAAACCGTGTTGGTGGCTATACAGGAAGGAACGGTAGTGCCTGAGAAATATGAAATCATAAAAGTAACGCGGTTGCAAGGAACTGTAGAGAAATCAACGCCTCCCATGGTGGAACCTTCGAAGCGCAATGAACTCTGTTGGTCTCAGCGTTAGTCAAGGAACTCTGATTGAAAAAAGGTTGGCCACATTTACTAAAAAAGTTACAGTACGAAGAAAAACGGTTGTCAACGATGAGTGGGCCTCTGCCAAACTTAAAGAAGAACAAGAAAACGATCCCGTTTTAAAGCAGATGCGACAACGGAAAGAGGAAAATCGTCGGCCTACTTGGCAAGACGTATCGAAGCTCTCTAAAGTAGTTAAATCATATTGGGTTTAGTGGGACTTCTTCATCCTGGAAGAAGGTTTATTAAAGCGAGTGGCTTGAAAATTATTAATATTACGAATTATATAATAAACTATACCTTGGTATTTTTTTGATTTCTACGAGTAGATCTGGAACCGGCTTGCCAATAAATAAGAGGAATGGGTAATTATTAAGACAAATCGGAATTTGTGGCTTACTAATTTATTAATTCTTAATTATTCATAGGAATAAGCTGTCACTATTTATTAATTATAATTAAATTTCCAATATTTTTTATAAATCGACACAAAACTGTCTTGGCACAAAACTGTCTTGGTACAAAATCCGTTGTTTTTACTCGACATATGCTTAATTTATCCTTTATTAAAAGAATAATAATTAAACTGATTTATACAAACGGACTGTAGGCAATCAATTTTATATTTGAAAATTTAAAATATAAATCGCCGTAACAACGAGTATGATGAGAATGATTATGGTTTCGAAAACAGAAGATAGTTGGTCATTTCAAAGACTAGAGTAGCCGAAGTACTTCGTCAGTTATAAGACAGTACATCAGGAGGACATCTCGGTAATAAGAAAACCCTTCAAAGAGTTAGTAAAAGGTTTTATTGGATGACCAGTTCTGATGATGTAAAGGACTGGTGTAAAAAATGTACCACCTGTGCTATGAGTAATAGACCCCAATGGAAAAGAAAGGCCCCATTAAGCAGTACAGCGTCACTAGCCCATTTAAAAGAATTGCTATAGATATTGCTGGACCATTTCCCATGACCGAGGATGATAATAAATACATGATGGTGGTTATAGAATATTTCACGAAGTGGATGGGAATCTACGCCATTCCAAATCAAGAGGCCGCAACTGTTGCAGACGTATTGATAAAATAGTTTATCTGTCGATTTGAAGTGCCCTTGGAGATCCACAGTGACCAAGGCAGAAATTTGAAAAGCCTGCTTTTCCAAAGAATCTGTGACATACTAGGCATGAAGAAACCCAAAACAACGATATTGCACCCAAGTCGGATGACATGGTAGAGAAAATTATTAAGACAATTGGCAAATACCTGTCAAACTTGGTTTCCAACCATCAGCGAGACTACCGAGTGACCTCGAGTTTGGATGCCGATCTGGAGAAGACATACCCGGTGAAGATTAAGTGATCAAACTACGAAGAAAAATATGCGACATACATGAATTGGTTCGCTCACATCTTCAAATCGCCGACGGAATAAAGAAGCGACACGATACCCAAGCCTCAGAAGGATATTTC